GGTTACGTTCTGTTTTATTACTTTATTTCGTAGATGTGACTATGAGGCACTCATTTACCTTATTTTGTCTCTTGATCACATCCTCTACACTGCTCAGACTTGACTCCCATGTGGTTTGCATTACATTCATAAGTGAATCCGGGACTAAACCCGCAGATTCTAATGCCTCAGTACAATCTATAGGTAGTTTCTTCTTCTCTGCGCGCTTCTTTCTCCTTGTAACAATGCCTACATCCATATGCTTATCTGTTTTCCGGATGAGGTGCCCCTCTATGGTCTCATCCAAGTATAGAGCTGAGTTAATAGTAACGCTCTCAATTTCCTCAAAAGCAGAGTTTTGATCATCTGCTGCTGCCTGTTTATCAGAGGACGATTTCCTAGCTAAGTTTAGCATCTCGATCGCCTCTAGAATCAAAAGATACATAGTAGAACAACATGCTTTACACAACCAACGTGATAATGGCTTGCAGCACCGTTTACATGCAGCCGGTGCACACATTTTGACACCACTCAATGCAGTTAACATATTGCATGCCCTCATCGACCGGGAAATAGCATCCTGGTCTACCACGACGATGTTTCAATTGCGCCATGTATTTGTTTGTTCCTATATAAATAAAACAAAGAAACAATACAAAGAAGCTACTTCAGTAGCTACCGAAAGATTTTAACACCTATGGATACAAACAATGCCCAAAGATATATTCAACGAAAAAGATTAAGTACCAGTGCCTTTAGTTATATGTATCTGTACTCGTTCAGTACAGATGATAAACTTTTCTAGAGAACAAGCTGTACTCTTGTGAATCACTTTAACCGGAAGAATTCAGTTAAAGCAAAAACAGGCTGCTATTAAACGCAACTCGATTTCGTAAACGTGACAGTTATTTGGTTAAAAATACATTATGAAATGACAAATTCTATGATTACTTAAACGCACAGATGACCGTCATTACACTGCGCGATACATTAGGCTTACATGGTTGCGTTGCGGATAAAACCACCCAAAAATACGACTGTCATTTTTGAATAGCGCGCGTTAGAAGAAAGTCAACAAAAACCACACTACTTGGTGTTTTTAAGAAGCAATACATGTTGCATGAATAAGTGGTTTGTGTTCCTTCGATCGGTCCAATAAAGTAGGAACAATTCCAGATAGTTTACCATCGACATTCAGACCTCCAACCACAAATCTGTATCTGAATCAGCCGGAACATACAAATTATTATTTACGGCGCGTTGTGATGCTGCGGTGAGCACTTCGGTATTTGCCCGAACATTCATAAACGAGATCTGTTTTCCACATAGATCAGTTAAAACAATTATTAGTGTTTTCGCATTTATGTAGCAATAATTAGAGTTTAAACAGGACCTCTGGTCATTCGTATTTCTGCTTATGATCCTCTACGGTCCAAAACCAATATAAAACAAACCCCACATCCTACTTGCTTTATTGTTTCCTAGTCACACATTTTTGGTTATTTTACCAACTAAATCCATTCAATTCTGACAAAGTCATATTTGAGTCCATATTATTAACAACTTGTGTCTTCTGGGATAGAGGTGATTGAGTCTGGTTTCCATGTTATTCGTGGATTTACACGTATTGTTAACTTATTTCATACAAAAGGTCATGCGTGATCAAATACACACATCCTTCTTCCGTCTCCATTTATTTGTTTGTATCAATTTGATCCAGTAACATAATACTAACCTGGTAGAAATTAATCTCAGGTTCTACCGTCTGATAAGCACTCAACAGACACTCGGATTTAAGAGGAATATGAGTTCAAATGGATTCTAGACGCAGGATTTGAATGTGTTCTATTGTCTTCAGACCTATGATCTTATGCCGTCGTATAATCACAGTCTATCAGTGAGATAAACATCACTTCATCAGTAAGATGTATTACTTGGGTCTACGTAATTAACTGCTAGTCTCACCGAGAATTTAGTCTGTTTGCAACAATTCAGTCGAAGCATTTTACATATCCAAGTGCTCGTGAAATAACGGACACAGTGTCTAGCGTTTTGCCAACTATGACATACAACTTACGAGGAAAAGTTCCAAATTACTTTTCGAACGCTTACACACTAGTCTCGGGTCTGTTTTCTTAATTTTATGACGCGTAATTACGTAAATGCAGGTTGAGGAATCCATAAATAAAACATTTTGCTGTATTTGATAAGATGAGCTTCATGGCACGTGTTTCCAGCAAATAGCATTTTGTCGTCCGGTTACAGTCTGTTTTACTTAACTACAAATATATTGTCATTTAAAGTACTGTTGAGAGCCAAGCGTGCAAACTTACAATTGATGAATGATTTACATTAAATCATAGGTCTTAGCCTAATATACTTAAGATTACGCATGCGCAACTACCGACTACCACGGCGCCGTGATGATTAGTGTTTTGAAGACGGTCGAGAAAAACGTGGCATCAGTCCATAAAGTTTGGTCTGAGCCATGTCGGTAGATGTAAACTACTTGGTTGGGGTTCGCATGACTATCGTAACCAATGGTTGGAGACTGTGTGACATGGCTCAGAATCGAGCACAATTGCGTGGGTGTATTCACTCTTTGTCTCCCCTCAAAACGTGAGAATGAATTTATTTGATACCTTTCTTACTACGAAGTAGTCCTTCTTCCTTGTATCATCCTTATATGCGATCTTTTTCTGCATATATTATTACCATTTATGTACCTGCCTCTTTGAATTTGGTATTCATCTTGTACTAATTAGGTATGGAAACTCGGACCGTTGCATATATGTGCCTGGTCCTACGTTTTAGGTGAATAATATTTAATAATAATATATAATATATATAGAACAAGTTTCCTTATAACTATTCAAAATCCTGCAACGCATTAGCGAATTCCTTTGTTAATGATGGTCATCATTAAAGCAGCTATCTAATAATTAGTTTAACCTGGTGTAGACTCGCAACTTCGTAGTCGAATTCGAATTTCTTGAAGATAAACAGGAACGAAAACCTTTGAAAAATTCTGGCAAAGTTTAACAACAAGAAGTCCACTCTTATTTGAAGTAAATTACAATTTGTTTATGGGATATATAGTTCACGATATTTCGGCTAACAAATAATCTGATTATGAATGACAACTTGTTTTTTATAATAATTTCTCTATCGTCGTTTTGACGTTCTTCATATTTGGTAATAAGCACGACATTAATATCTTGTCAAGGTCTTTGAGGGGTTTCTTACTTATATCTTTGCATAGTCCGTTAATTATATCTTAACTTCATATATAAGAGTAGAAGACACTTGTAAGCTACAAGTATTTGACCACATACGCCTTAGGAATATTGCTGGGATCACCGGGTAAGTAATAATGACGCAGGGTATTAGGGAATGATGGTAAATCAGTTGATGAGGTTGTGAATCTTCATTGACTGAGGTGGTTGGGCCACGTGTTACGTATGCCCGAACACCGATTACCACGACGTGCAATGCTAACCGGTGTTGAGGATGGTTGGAAGAAAATTAGGGGCGGCCAAACCAAAACCTGGCATCGGTGCTTGAAGTCACTAACTTCTAGTCTGAGCCATGTTGGTAGATGCAGACTACTTGGTTGGGGTCCACGTGACTATCGTAACCAATGGTTGGAGACTCTTGGTGACATGGCTCAGAATCGGTCACAATGGCGTCGGTGTATACACTCTCTGTCTTCCCTTAAACTAAGATATTAAAATCGCTTCATATCTTTCTTTCTACGAACTAATTCTTTGTTCCTGTACTATATCCTTATTGCAATACTTCTTTTATATATTACCACCTCTGAATTAACTACTTTTATGAATCCGGTGCTCATCTTGTTGTGTTAATGAGGTATGGCAACTTGGACCGATGCATATATGTGCCTGGTCCTAAGTTGTAGCTGACTGACTGCCTCATATAAATTGTAGAGATGGTTTTTCTAACCTTAATTCAAATCCCCAGGAGCTTTTTGTTAGTTTCTTTACACAACTATCTTTGAAATATCTATTATCAATTCGTCTGTATTAAGGTTTTTTTCTCAAAGCGAACTGATCGAGTCTAATTTTGTTATCTTCTGGGAGCGTATTTGTTTAGCTCTTCCAAACTTTATAACAGAGCCAAAGTTCTAAATAATTGTCATTACTGGTCTTGTTGCTAAGTCAAATGCTAATATTGACCGAATAGTTTTCCTACCATCCTGCGTGTGATTAAACACTTATTGACATGCGTTAAAATCTCGTAAACCTTAATGGCTCTAACTATCAGACCCTAGTAATTGAAGTACCATTGTTACTGAAGTGTATACTTGTGATCTGGTCTTAAAAATTTTTGTACTGTCCCCGCTGGGCATGTCTTATATCCATTCACTTATGTGCTCGCGTATATAACTTGGTCTCGTTAGTAGTCATATCGTATCTGCATATTACAATTTTCCAACGTTATATTTACTCATTTTAACAATCCAAACGTTTACTACAAAAATATCTGCCAGAATTAAGTCCAGAGGACTTCTCACGGAAACTGTCAATTTGAGAAAATGATATATTGTTGAATTGTAATCGAAAGTCTTTGGTGTACATCAGTAGAAGTTGGTTAAATTCGTCCATTTGCAAAGGATTTCCCAGTATGTCAACACATAGATTTTCTAGTTTCTTCTAGTGGGATTGCGGTAAATAATAATGATATATCAAATGAAACTATCAATTGTAGATGACTGATTATCATGAAGATTGATATTAGTTATATTTTACAATATATTCAAATTTTTATTAGATTACATGTTCAGTGAATGCAATTGAATGATGATAAGTTATATCTCAAAATAATACCCATGGTTTTTGAAAGATAGTTTATTCTGCAATCAGGAACTCAATAGTGCTCTTCTATGTTTTTTGCACACGATTGTCGCTCTTATTCAATTCTTTATTTCTTTTGCTATTAGGATCACACATCGTTGGTTCTAATTCACTGGAGTTAAATAGTCATGTTGGTTTTCTCCACCTATGAGTTCCTTTGGTAATCTCTTAAAACAGAAAGTTCTACCTAGTGGCTCAAGGATCAACTTGAGGACAAAATTTCGTAAGTGGATAATTGCTTTCAAACGCTTAATTATGTAAAAGCTTAAATCGATCCATGTTCACGTTCGATAGTTACTAATCCCATTGATTGAAGGGATCTAATTAACGATAATAATTAGTACAAATTAAAATACAATCCACAAAATCATATATTCTATGCCAAACATAAAAATTTAATACCAACTGTGAATCACAGTCAATGGCTGGAAAAATCATGAATTACGTGTAACGATATACGAATGATTCAATTAAAGGTGGTCTAGAAGTACACGATACAAACTGATCGGTAGATTGTCACATGAGTTCTTACGTAGCTTGAATTTTTCTGTGGGCGATGTAGTGTACATAGTGGGTATCCAAGAGTATAGCATCTCCCATCCAGAGCTATATTTTAAGCGATACTCATGTACAAATAAAAGGTAAAGAAATTGGAATTATTAGGTAGAAGTGTGACGGATGGTACTCAAAAGATTGCTTATAAGTATTATATAGCGAAACGTCGCAAGTTGCTACAGTTGACAGCCGAAGAGAAGAGTCCCAGGAGGTCAATTAGCATAGCTTATGCAGGGTACTTTGCATATCAGAAGAGAAGCGAAATAAGAGTCTAGAACCAACTTTGATTGAAGAACACAAGATGCGGATGGATAACTGACGACTAGGTGTATATATTGCGTAAACATTCCGTAATCTCACCAAATAAATATGCTTTCCGGCGATTTCGTCTGGACTTACAGTACCACAAATAACTCACGGGATCCGCCTGGAGTCCCTCCTGGGGCTTCTGCCGGTCTCAAGTCCGGATAAAGGAGAGTTGGGCATGGGGTTGGCGACCCCATCCCGTAGAAAACTAACTCGCTAAAAAAACGCTAACCAGAAAAAATGATTCGAACCTTTTAAACTCTGCCCTGGGAATCAGAAGGTCTTCATTTAGAAGAACTATGACGCCTCATGATGAAAGCCAAGTTCCTTCAGAAGTTATGGGGCCGATGCCCCTTCTGACAACCAGAGCAACCATTTATTTGGGTACATGGAATGTTCATACAGTGTGGGACACCGGGAGAGCCTTCCAAGTTGCTGCAGAAATGAGGAGGTACAACCCAGAGGTGCTTGGGATCAGTAAAACACATTGGACGAAAGTTGGACAACAACGACTAACTTCAGGAGAGCTTCTGTTATACTCTGGCCATGAAGAAGAAGAAGAAAATGCCCCACATACACAAGGAGTTGCATTGATGCTGTCCAAACGAGCACAAAATGCACTTATAGGATGGGAATCTCATGGACGCAGGATCATCAAAGCCTCCTTCAAAACAAAGAAAGAGGGCACTTCAATGAACATCATCCAATGCTATGCGCCTACCAACGGCTACAATGAAGAAGCTAAAGATCAATTCTACAATAGGCTGCAGTCAATCGTCGAGAAGTGCCCAACAAAGGACCTGACCATTCTGATGGGAGACTTCAATGACAAGGTTGGAACAGACAATACTGGATATGAAGGCATCATGGGATGACACGGACTGGGAGAAAGAAACGAAAATGGTGAGAGATTTGCAAACCTATGTGCCTTCAATAAACTGGTCATAGGCGGCACCATATTCCCACATAAACGCATACACAAAACCACATGGACTTCACCGGCTCACACTACACAATACCAAATCGATCATATCTGCATCAACAAAAAGTTCAGAGGACGATGGAGGACGTGCGAACCAAGAGAGGAGCTGATATAGCATCAGATCATCACTTGCTGGTCGCCAAGATGAAATTGAAATTCAAGAAGCACTGCACAACGGGGCGGACAACATCAAAAATGTTCAATACGGCTTTTCTTCAGGATACTGACAAACTCAACGAATTCAAGATAGTCCTCAGCAGTAAGTCACAGGCCTTTCATGATCTACTCAACGGAGAACGAACTACTATGGAGAGCAACTGGAAGGGGATCAAAGAAGCAATCACTTCAACATGTCATGAGGTTCTGGGCCACAAGAAACACCATCACAAGGAATGGATCACTGTTGATACACTGGATAAGATTCAAGAAAGGAGGAACAAGAAGGCAGCAAACAATACCAGCCGAACAAGAGCAGAAAAAGCCAAGGTACAAGCTGAATACACAGAAGTAAACAAAAAAGTGAAGAGGAGCATCAGAACTGACAAACGTAAATATGTGGAAGATTTAGCAACGACGGCAGAAAAGGCTGCAAGAGAAGGAAACATGAGACAATTGTATGATACAACAAAGAACCTCGCTGGAAATCATCGTAAATCAGAATGGCCAGTGAAAAGGAAGGAAGGCGAGGTAATCACTAACATTGAAGAGCGACAAAACAGGTGGGTAGAACACTTCAAAGAACTCTTGAATCGGCTAGCCCCACCGAACCCACCCAACATCGAAGCAGCACCCACGGACCTCCCAATCGATGTTGGCCCACTAACAATTGAAGAGATAAGCATAGCCATCAGACAAATCAAGAGTGGCAAAGCAGCAGGACCGGACAACATTCCAGCTGAGGCACTAAAAGCAGACGTAGCAGTAACTGCAAGGATACTCCACATTCTCTTCATCAAGATTTGGGATGAGGAACAAGTACCAACAAACTGGAAAGAGGGACACCTGACCAAAATACCAAAGAAAGGCGATCTCAGCAAGTGTGATAACTACAGGGGCATCACTGTTCTCTCAATACCGGGAAAAGTCTTCAACAGAGTATTGTTAAACAGGATGAAGGACTGCGTAGACGACCAACTTCGTGACGAACAGGCAGGATTCCGTAAAGATAGATCGTGTACAGACCAAATCGCAACTCTATGGATCATTGTGGAACAATCAATTGAATGGAATTCATCACTTTACCTCAACTTCATTGACTACGAAAAAGCATTTGATAACGTGGACAGAACAACACTATGGAAGCTTCTTCGACTGCATGGCGTACCTGAGAAGATAGTCAATATCATACAGAATTCCTATGATGGATTACACTGCAAAATCGTGCATGGAGGACAGTTGACAAAGTCGTCTCAATATACACAAAGGAAGAGCAGGATTCTCCGATACAACACAGCATGCACCAATCCAATCAAATTTGACGGAGACGATTTGGAAGATGTAAAAACCTTCACATATTTTGGGCAGCATCATTAATGAACAGGGTGGATCTGATGCAGATGTGAAGGCGCGGATCGGCAAAGCAAGAGTAGTACATGTATATTTGAAGAATATGTGGAACTCGAAATAATTGTCAACAAACACCAAGGTCAGGATTTTCAATACAAATGTCAAGACAGTTCTACTGTATGGGGCAGAAACCTGGAGAACTACGAAAGCCATCCAGAAAATACAGGTGTTAATTAGCAGTTGTCTACGCAAAATACTTCGGATCCGTTGGCCGGACACTATTAGCAGCAACGTACTGTGGGAGAGAACAAACCAGATCCCAGAGCAGGAAGAAGCGCTGGAAGTGGATTGGACACACATTGAGGAAAGAACCCAACTGTGTCACAAGACAAGCTCTCACATGGAATCCTCAAGGCCAAAGGAAAGGAGGAAGACCGAAGAACACATTACGCCGGGAAATGGAGATAGACATGAGAAAAATGAACAAGAATTGGATGGAATTAGAAAAGAAGGCCCAGGACAGAGTGGGTTGAAGAATGCTGGTCGGCGGTCTATGCTCCATTAGGAGTAAAAGGTGTAAGTAAGTAAGTAAGTTATACGATTTGTTTACAAATAATTTTCATAGTATCGGCGAGTTATTCGCATTTTACCATTGTGTTCATTACGTCTGATTTTCTCTTCATATTGTGATATTGCAACATAAGTAAAACACCCGTCTCAATGATATATATATTTTCAAATTTGTACTGTTACGAATAGTTCCTACTACTATGCGTACTACATTGTACAATTAATCCATACACTACATAGTAGTTAGTTTGTTGGTAATTTTAACTGAAAAACGTTTGACTTTTTTATTTTGCTAGATACTTATTTCAAACAACTGGCAGGAGATTATATCTCATCTGGTCGTGACACTCTACAACGTATTCGTCAAAATCCAGTACGATCTACTCTCTGGACTTCAGCTGTCCTTGCTGTATCATACATTACCAGCACCTGTCCCAATAAACAGAATTATTATGCTTCTCTCGTTGAATCTGCTATTGATTTGTGGGAAGTTCCAGATCTTATACGCAACTCTGGAAGTGCCAGCTACATTCATAAATGTCTTAAATTATTCTCTAAAGAACAGATTAGGTATAATAACCTTGGATTATTTGCAATTATCTGGCGTGATGATCGAACTCAGTCGTGTTATCAGTATGCAGAAATATGCAAGTACACCTATCCTGCGAACGGGGGAGGGAATTTCACAGGTCTCCTTCGTTTATTCTTGTTCGATCGTCCTCAAGAAAATGGTCTGGAACGCATACAGAATATTGTTCAGGATCGCATTTTGGATTTTGGATTCTTGGGAAAATGGTGGTTCATGTCACACTACATGGATAGCTATGACATCAATCCTGACGAATGGGAAACTCCAAAAATCTTCGAGAAGCTCACCAGGAAAGAGTCGGACTAATAACAGTTTTAAAAGCAGTGCGAAACCTAGTCAGCCTACTTGCTCGTCATCTCATTTTAAACCATCTGAAGATCAAAACTGCAGCGGACAAAATATTGAATTACATTTGAATAGTCCTAATAACATGAGTGATGACTGGGAAATAATAAATGAAGAAGTTTTGTACGTAGACTGTCAAGGTCTGCTAGAAGATGATATCTTAACCCCATCTAGTGTCATTCGCCTTGTGGATATAGAGTCAGATAAACCTCTTATGCAGGTAAATTAGCTGTCGATTCAGTGTTTTTTTTTAAAAGCGCACATCTGCTAAGTTCATGGTCTTTCATAATCAACTTATACTAATACCCATTTTTCCTAAGGCACCAATATATTTAAGTGCGTCATATGAGGTCTTTCGTTACAACGATGTTCGTAAACGTTGCGCTTTAGTTCGATACAAATGTTCACTTTGTGTTTTACAACTTACACCACTCTTGACATGAAACATGTCAATCATAAACGGATATATAGCATACAAGCGCACTCTATTCTGCTATACAGCTTTGACAAATGCCTAATGAAAAATAGAAGCTATGTGTGTTTCAGGACCTTTTTTGAAGTTTTGTCAAATACTGGGTCATCGTGAAAATAGTGTTTTAAGTTAACTTCTGAAACTACTTACATGGTTTCCATAACTAGGTTGTCAAATTGTAACTTATTGGATAAACTGCTTGTGTTTCAGCGAGTATAAACCTCGCTTCACATCTATTTGAAAAACTGGGTAGTATTACTAGCCGTCTTACAGTATGGTCCGAAGCTGAGCTCATTAACCAAAACAAGAGTGATCAATAAATTTTTAATGTATTGTGCATTGTTCTTGGCTAACAAGTTCTTCATTTTTAATTGGCTGTTACGTGTAAACTAAACCGCCTGTTCATGATTAGCGATTAAAAGTTGGAACGTCATTCAAAATCAGATGAATTTTCCTCCACACAATCAAGTGTAATAACCTCACTACTCAAATTCAGTGCATCAGCACTATGGATGCCTACAGATTATTCTGGTATAAGCTGCTGATTACAAAGTCTATACTAACTTAATTGAATGCTACGTTTTCTGCTGTAGTAACTAAGGAAGAAAGAAAGTTGGGATCATGAGTCAATCGAAGCTAGACCACCATGGAAAACCTGGATGGCCGTTTCTTCCTTTTGTGAAGGAGTCCCACAATAGGACGTGACGGCTGTTCAGTGCTTCCAGGTTTTCCATGGTGGTCTAGCTTCGATTGACTCGTGATCTCAACTATTGAAATTACTACAATCTCCACAAAACCCCTTCTGATGGTAGAAAGAAAGCTTTAGAAAATCAACTTGTCGCACTAAGTTGATGTGATGTCACTTGCGTACTGAAATAGTAATAGTGTGATTCGTACAGGTGTATGTACTCTGTTGTGAAACACATTGTTCATGTAATGGGTAGTGATATTTACCGACTAGTTTAAACGTGATGGGTTCGCCCAATAAACCATCACTCATTTGGTATGTGGTTCACATAAATTCAGGGCTTCCTCAAGAAGATTTACGACTGTTTGGTACAGAACTGTCAAACTTATCTATTAAGTAATCGGTTAACAGTGTTTATGCTTTGTACTTTTCCATCTGAGAATTCATTTGAGGTTATTTTTCTCAATATTCGGTTATCAAAACATTTTGACAAATTCTTGATATACCTTCTGGAATTAAGTATGTACATTTTGATAATCAATAATTGTTCCACTTATATCAACCCCCTTCAAGGTTGGACCAGCGGTCTTTGAAGGACGTTATGAAGATACAGTTGGGACATATTTATTCTTTGAAAATAACTCCACTCTGAATAACACTCTTCCCATAGAAGGCGCTTCTCTAGCACCAGCGCGCAAAATGGACGACCAAACATCACAGCATACCACAACCTATGTCGCTAAATCTTCCAAATCTCTTACATTTCAGCGCATTTTCCTAAAAGCAAAAGAAGGAAATCACTAGCTACTCCCGTTGGGAATGTTAATTTTCGAGTATTGGAGTGTAATTTGCAGTATGAGGTTTTGTACTTGTTAAGACAAATATATTTTTAAATGAGCACCCAAAGCCTTCTTAACAAAAACCATTCTCAGAGATTTCCATAGTTACGTACTCCTGTTGCCCCTTCTGGAGAAGCATAGGCCGCCCCCAAATGGCCTGGTATGACCGAGAGCAGGGTAGGCCCGCCCTCCATCTCGAAATGCTCTCACATGGACACCCGTATATAGCCTTTGCCGGGGAAGTCCTACTCACTGCCTTCTCGTGGCGGGGGTGTTGTTTACGAAATTGAGAGGACAAAAAGCAAATGTCCGACTCTAACCGGGTTGGTGGACACGGAGATTCCACCTAGGGGAAATGGAAAACCCTGATTCCAAGCCAATGGTGCACATGGGCCCCAGTATCCTGAGGGAACAAATGGTGTATGAACCAATCGTTGGTCACCGGCTACCATGGGACTGCATCTCCTCACGATGATCCACTGCCTCGTGGATCAGACCTTTAGGCCGAAGGCCCCGGGTGTGGCCCCCTAGGAAAACCACCTGCTTCGGTTTGGGCACCCAGGCGGTATCACGGCCCTCACACAGATCGAATGATTTATGTGGCGTACATCTATTTGGTGCCTCCTTGTATCAATGTTTGTGTTTAAATAAGTAATAAATAAGCTACCCACTAGCACTCTCCACCTAACCCTGTCCTGGGCAATCCTTTCCAGTTGGTATTCATCCTTTTCACGTCTGCTTCTGATTCTTCACGTACTGTGTTCTCTGGTCTCCCTCTTTTCCGTTTTCGTTCAGGACTCCAAGTTAGCAGTTTGGTGATTTCCGTAATGTATGTCCTATCCACTCCTAACGTCTTTTCCTAATTTCCCCTTCAGATGGAAGCTGGTTAGTTCTCTCCTACAGTAGCTGTTGCTCATGGTATCCAGTCATCAATGGACATTGAGTATCTTGCGTAGACAACTGTTCATAAGTACTCGTACATTTTTGGTGATGATTGTAGTAATTCTCCACGTTTCAGCTCCGTTCAGTAGGATTGTATTGAGGATTCTGACTTTAATATTGGTCGGCAGTTGTTTTGAGTTTTACATGTTCTCCAATTGTAGGAGTGCTGTCCTTGCTTTTCCAACCCTCGCCTTTACGTCTGCATCAGTTATTTTGAATTCGTCGAGTTTGTCACTATGTATAAGGAAGGCTGTATTGAATATTTGTAATGCTGTTTTTCCAGTTGTCTAATGCTCCTTTAGCTTCAGTTTCATCCTGGCAATCAACTGGTGATCTAAAGCTATGTCAACTCTTCTGCTTCTCACGTCTTTCATTGTCCTTCTGAAGTTTTTATTGATACAAATGTGATCTATCTGGTTCTCTGTGACGTGATCCAGTTGAACCAATGCAGCTTTTTGTATTCGTTTGTGGTGTAATATTGTGCCGCCTATAACCATTTTGTTGAATGCACACAAAGTTGTAAATCTGTCACCATTTTCGTTCCTCCCTCCCAGTCCATGATATCTTCATATCCGGTGTTGTCCATCCCGACTTTGGCGTCCAGATCTCCCATCACGATGGTGATATCCTTTCTTGGGCACTCCGCTATGATTGATTTCCATAGGCAACATGTAATTTGTGTTCGAACGGTTTGATCTTTTACGTAAAACGTACTAGACAACCTAACTTTAATGATTTCCAGCGATAAAAAGTAGGTTCATATAAACATTAGTTCAAAAGAGTACCAATATATATGTGTGCCACACAATAAATCACTAAGTCTGTATGGGCTGGGATACTGCCCGAGTGCCTAGACCACATCAGGTGGTCCTCTTAGAGGGTTCCTCCCCGTACGTTTGACCTATAGGTCTAATCCTCAGAGCAGCGGAGCAACGTTAGGATGCAGTCACATGTTGTCCGATAACCAATAGTAGATCCACACCCCGTTCGTTCCCTCAGGATCCTAGAGCCCATGCGCACCATTGGTTCGCCAACACCTAGATTGATTCTCCGCACCCACTAACCCTGTTTAAGAGCTGGACATTCACCTTTTACCTTCTCAATTTCGTAAACATTCCTGCCAAGAGAAGGCAATAACCATATGAGAGCATTTCGAGTAGAACGGACCCTACCCACTCTTAGTCGTACCAGTGTGTTTGGGGGCGAATATTAAAGCATCGGTCGTCTTAATTGAGGTTAGAATAAAACAAAATTAACATTTTATTCCGCTTTCCCAAAGTATGTTAATACAATGAGACCCTTCCATAATTAGTACAAATCACTAGTTATTTCACTGAGTTACCTAAGGCAGTAGTAATTTTGTCTCCCCACATCTTTCTAAGCGAGTACAATCATACATTCACTTCATTTAGAAGAGACTGAAGTTGTTTACTCTTTAAATACCTTTCTTTTCGAACCAATCACATAAACGTAAAACGCTTCGAAGTCCTAAAACTGATTGCCCTTTCCACACTAATAACTAGAATTTGGTCAAGAGAGTCAACTCTCTAATCGGATTTCTAATTTAACTAATTCAACAACTTCAAAAAAACATAATTTAAGGGTTTGCATGTGCCGGAACATAACTGATGCCTAAAAACTAGGAAATATTCAGACCCTTCTTTGGACTTCTGAATTGCAGTGTAGAATATATGGCTCGTCGTTTGCACGATAGAATCTTATTGTTGATGACAGCATCAAAATCTTAACTTTGTGAAATCCCTAGGATTAACTATTCGCTTATATGAACTGTTTCTATTCAGCATATACTTAAGTCCATCGCTGACATATTTCGGAATATAACTACACGCTGAAGATCGGTGCTCCACTTATAGGCCTGGCTTGTCCTGATAATAGATGAAGTAATTAGACAATCACGCTCTACAAACTACTAAAGTAGTTGATAAAGATATTACGGCTGCAATTTGGCTTTTTGTAACAAACTAAATGGGCGGCAAGAATACAAACAGAGAACTCATTTAAGAAAATCCAATGTGAATAACTCACATGGTGAAATACTATGTTTTTCAATATTTCGTGGTGTGGGTGATGGGAAGAGCATTCTAACCCTACAGAAATCGACGTCTAATTTTCACGACATTGAAAGGAACAATCGGTGGGGTCGTAGACGCTTTGATTGTTTCTGTACCATGCTATTCAGAATATATATTTGACAAATCTTGTCCTGACTCAACCTTCAGTAACCGAAATCAAGCTCAGAGTTATAAGGAATTACATCACGTATATTTCAAAGAAAGCCTATAAGGTGAGAAATGTTTGGGAAAATCCTAACATAATAAATACGTATGTGCCACCTAGATTGAGCAAAAGCAAAAATGTATCATACATGATCACAAATATAAACAATTAAGTTAGTAAGTAGGTAAGCTAGACGAACATGAAGACTGAGGGGAAGTAAATAAATAAACACTAACAAACAAGAACTGATAAAGTAAGTTGGTCAAAACGATACAGACAGTTTTCACAGCTGAGTGCAACATATTAGATGAATACAACAGAGGATCGAAAGCCCGTATGTTGCTGTCCATCAATTGGAACTAACAGCAAAATGCAGCAATAAACCGTCGGGTTGTTGCCGCATGAAACGAGATCACATTATTGCACATTTCACAAAATACTTTCCAAATGAGCTGCCACATTAAGTTCCTCTTCGAACATCCAAGTAGGTGGGATAACACTGAAAAAGAGTTTGGACATGAAACAAGTGGTTTGAGACTTTACGGAGAAATGCACGAGAAACAAAAATGTAGTGCTTCTGTTGAGAGGGTGTTTTCAGGTTTGAAGAAACATTCGACCGCATTTTTGAGGAGCAGTTGTATGTGAACAAAGAATAAGAGAATGGTAACAACTAGGAATTATTTATGAACTATTACAACACATAATCTTACAGGACTATTAATCAAATAGTTTATACTTATCCATATTCTTTTTGTCATAAGCCTCCGTTTGACCTATTAGCTGTTATGCGATTTACCATTCTTAATTTATTCCGAATCTATTAGTTACAGTCTACTGTGCTTACACATGCCTTTGGCTTGATCTTGTATAATTGTTTTTTTTTAATTTTGTGGTGCGATACTGTCAGGAATGCTTGTATATAAACCACGTATGTCTGAAATGTACGATTCATACGGCGGATACCGACATTTGTGCTGTGGATCGAACGGGCGGGGCTAAGCGAGAAGCTACTATACAGAGGACCAATAGGGACTCGGAATTGACTCTAGGCTGCTCATGTTGGTTAACGCACCAACGGTTTAGCACACGGATAAGGTCACGAGATATTTGGCAGGCCATAGGACATAACCATTAAATAATTTGATTAGTGTTCTTTTATAATCCCCTTACTGCGAACTTCCACTAAACCTGTTAACCACTGTTAAACGTTTTATTACGTCTCAATTATTGTTAATTATGTACCGTTTGCTCAACACCCTGTAACATATAGTCTGATTGTTTTTAAAAGTATAGTTTCTTATTTGGTGCGCGATGCGGCCTAATAATTCCTGTATTCTAAACTAATACGTGTTTGAATTAAAAAGACTGGATGCCTGATATACATAGAAGCTTGGCTTCTGTCTTTTAATTTATCGTACAGGAAACTGGGATGTCAGAAAGGCGTACGTTCTGGACCAATGAGAGTTAGGTTTTTCCCGGCTTTAGCTTAAGATTACTCCCTTCAGTCAGAACGTATCATTGGTCAAGACGTAGGATGTTAGTCCATACAGAAACATTATGGGATTCTTATTGATAAATCTTATCAAACGGTATTGACTAACTTTCACCTTCATAAGATTTTTAACTGGCCTGTCGCTCTATCAACACTGATCAAAGTATCCTCTCAGTAGTTTAACAAGAATAAATAGGTCTAGTAATTATGCCGCTCTTATAACACTAATTAGTCATGGGTGACTGAAAAGCTGATTTACAAAATATCCAATCAAATAAGAAAAACATGAGCTACAGAAGAGTTCAAGTTGGAACTGATTCTACTGTCACAACTATATACCAGAAAAAATTTCCTGATTCATATTCACTATAAACTAACATAACATTGAACACCTGAAGGTACATTATGTTATGGTTTTATGTAAATTATTATTAAGTTCACATTCTGTCAAAGCTTATAATTAATGAGAAAAAATTTATAAATAAACTTATGAAAAAAAACAAGTTTACCTATGTCCAGAACCGCTAATCCAGCGTACGAGAAATTCACATCGATGATCCAGAGAAATACGTCGACCAACAAACTGAGAGTCACGATCAATATATATTGAAGTAATAATTATTTATCGGTCGCATACTATTAAGTAATTTTGTTTAAATAATTAACTCAATGTTTATGAAAGTTAATATTAACTCATAGGCATACAACCTTGAAAAGCATAGTTGAATTCGGACTAGTCATTAACACAGAAATTATTTGTACAAGGACGTGAGTCCAAGGGTATTTTGGTTTACTATCCTAAATAACATCTGGGTTGCCTAACTGTTTTTAAACAAAAAAAATCAATATTATTATTATCCAGTATGTGCTTACTGCCACTAAAAATACTGTAAAGTTATGACCTATTTCTGACATATGTGTCATTAAAATATTTGTCATTTCCTTGGTGTGACATATATATAACATACTATAACACATAAGGCCAACAAGATGAACAGCCGTAGTAGAAATCATAATAGAAGAGGTTAAACATTGAGAATATGGCGCTAAAAGACAACAGAAAAATATGTCACAAGGAATAGTGAACTCAAGATCTAGAGGAAGATAAAAAATGAATGCATCTGAGTTAATGTGACCGGTTTTTAGACATGTCACTCAATTTCTTCAGCTACAGATTACCGTTATTGTTTTATTTATTTTAGAACATAAAATCCACCCCAACGGGAGATAAAAAAAAGCACCACAAAAAGTATGGATAACTTGATGAGGAAAAAGTTATCCATCCGAAGAGGAGACATTAAACTAAGTGGAATAATTAACGAAAAAAGTACATAACGGAAGAATTAGTCCAGTTGACAATACACACGAAGTTGAAGTTATCAAAAAGTAAAAAGAAACTACGTCAGAATCACCAGCCATTTCTGTTCCAAGCCATGTTTGATATCTTGGGTCACTGAGTTGCATAACCTCGCTAGGATCCAAAACCAGGGGGTCGTGGTAGACCTGTAGGTTCCGGTCCTATTTCACTTTTATTCATACTACGGTACCAATTCAAAAACTGATCACTTCTCTACTTTCCCATTTAGTCTAAGCGCCGGTAGCAAAGCTCGATATAGAAGCCTTTGGAATTCACGTGTAATCCATTGAATCCAGTGTGACACTAATTACTAAGGTCGATGGTGTTGCACATTTCATTGAAGAATCGAACACAGAAAATAGTCTAACATCCTCAAATTAGAGGTGCAAGGTTTTGTGACCATAGGAAATTACTCTTGCTAACGCTTTGTAAACCTGACCTTTAACAGCCTGACTAACATTCACGACGATGTCAAAAAAGGGCTCACATTAACGTAACCTCCAGTGGCCATAAATACACACAGACTGATTTCATTTATCACTTTGTTATCGCCACTCATGCATCTAACCATATACATGAACTTTTCAACTACTTTAAACAGTTCACAAACAAGGGTCTGTGAAGGTGCAGGTACGTGTTACACTTACGAGTACTGATTCCAAATCGACTGAGCGTGATACTCTTAATTTGAGTATCACCTCACATTAAAGATAAAACCGTCCGTGTACATAAGATCGAAATTTTTTAGGTAACTGATACACATCACTACTACATATTACCACCAAATATTCTCCCAGAATGTTATCGATGACAAAGTTGGAGACGGATAGTGATTATGAGAAGCCCTGTCTAACACCACTGCCTGAATGGGACAATAGGGAATGATTGTATGAAGCCACTCTGACTGAGCTGTCTATGTAAGTAGCCTTTCAAATACTGATCAATTTTTAAGGCACACACTTTAACGGACAATCCCAGAGTACAGTCCTAGCCAATGGCTGGAATGCAGCCGTATTACTAAGAAGCACAACAATTGTTGGCCTGGAATAAATATGGCAGTGATATAACATTTGACAGAGGGTAAAAATGCGATAAATGCATCAACGACCTAAACGTAAACCGGTCTTCTCGTTAGTCAGTCTTTTGTGGGTTCTGCGCCATCTATGAGCAGCAGAAGAGATGAACTGTTTCTGAAAAAGCACACATTGTCTAGGATGTCGTTGACTAGCGTCCCATCAGGTCTAGAGATTTTATCCTTCAAGCCAGGTATTTCGCTGACAGAAGCTCGGATGTGTTGAAATATCTTCCAGCAGTTAACAAGTACTACTGCTGTCTATAAAACTTTCGCATTATTTTATTCATATTTACTTGAACACACAAAAATTGGTACTATACGGCAACAAATACATCTACACCACACAATAATAATGAGGATGTAAGGAGATGAAAAATGTGAAGTGCGTATAACAAAGCAAGAACAAGGAACAAAAATTAGTTTATGAGTGAAATTATTGATAATAATTGTAATTATAATAGAAGAAACAATTCAGTTAGCAAAGGCGCAACAAGAAAAAATTCTTCCAGTTAGAGAAGTTACGTCCATTTTTTATGAAGAAAATAAAAGAAAGTTACAGCAGGATCGCCGCTGGCTTCTATTCTGAGCCATATCTGATAACGTCTCTAGCCACTGTGTAGCACAATCTCTCGGACCTCAACAAGGGAGTCATGAAGGACCAACAGAAGCCAGCCATTTGCAGCTTTCTTTCATGCCACGACACCATGTCATGCACTGACCACCTCTCCGCTTCTTCCAACCAGTACCAGAGTCGGCAAATAATGCACAACGTGGAATTCTCTGCGACGACATTCGCAGAACATGTTCAAGCCACCGAAGTCGATGTTTCAAGATGGTGACACCAATTTCATTATCATCTCTGTGCCCGAACACACGCCGAACCTCTGCATTACTGACATGGTGTTGCCACTGAATGTCAGCAATCCTTCGGAGACAACGATGATTAAACACAGAATCATCTAATATCCTCAACTCGGAGAGACCAGGTTTCACAAGCATAGAGCAAGACTGCTCTCACCGACGCGTTGTAGATCCGACCTTTTACATCCAGACTAACATCACGAAGGCGCCAAAGATGGCCCACATTGGCATAAGCCTCTCCGGCTTTCACTACACGTGGATTGGTCTCATCATTCACGCCACCACCAGCAATTATGCAGCTACCTAGATACGCGAACTTCTCGATTATTTCTATCTGCTCACCATCCAGGGTGAGTACAGGATTGGAATCCTGCCAGTCTTGTAGAAGTACTTTGCACTTCGAAGGTGCAAAGCACATACCATACCTACGGACACTGATTGCCAACTGATTAAGTGCGGACTGCATGCCTTGGGTATTATCACACAGTAAGACAATATCATCCGCATACTTAAGGTCGAGAAGTCTTTCTCCAGACAACAGATCCGCACCACCATTACTTACATTCATCAGAGCTGTTTCCACAATGTCATCGATCGCAAAGTTGAAGAGGAATGGTGAGATTGTGCAACCCTGCCTAACCCCACTGCTCGAATGGAACAATGGAGAGAGGTGGTTGTATGGCCTCACTCTGCCTGACGTGTTTGTATATAGGGCTTTTAGGATGTTAATAAACTTCTCAGGCACACCCTTCTTCAATAGACAATCCTAGAGAACAGTCCTGTTCAACGAATCGAAGGCAGCCCTGATGTCAAGAAACACTACGATTGTCGGCCTTTGATAAGTATGGCGGTGTTCTAACATTTGGCGAAGGGTGAAGATATGATCAATACATCCTCGACCAGAACGAAACCCAGCCTGCTCCTCGCGAGTCAATCTTTCTCGGGTTTTGAACAATCTACGAAGTATGACGGAAGCCAATAGTTTGGACGCAATCGGAAGTAGGCTTATCCCCCGATATTTGATACAGAAATACGTGAAGCCTTTTTAAAGATAGGGACAACTATCGACTCATTCCATGACGTTGGTACACTCTCTAGTTCCCAAACCTTTGTAAACAACGTCGTCAATTTTTTAGTCAAAAAGTCACCACCATCTTTAAAAAGAGCCGGAGGTAAGTCATCTGGGCCAGGTGATTTGTAACGCTTCAAGAGTTGGAGCTCCTTGCGGACTTCCGCCTCATTTGGTGGATCAGTCGTCACCGGCCATGGAGGGCAGGACAGTCTGACCGATGTTGCCGGAGCAGCGGGCCATTTGAACTGCTGTTCGAAGAATTCTGCCCATCGTCCAAGACGTCGATGGATGTTAGTGATTGGCATCCCATCATCCTCACAGATTGTCTCGCTCACACCAGACTTTTTGCTGCCAGTGACTGAGATAGGTCAAAAGAGCTTCCGGCAGTTACCAGATACAACTGCTGCTTCTAACTCATTGGCACGCTCCGACCGCCATTTTTCTTGAACATTACGCAAGCTTTGCCTCATTTCATTACCTAACAGTCTCCGTTTGTGGTCAAACTCGTGGTCACCCGGAGTAGACAAACGTGCCTCAAGAAGTTGTAAGGAGTCGGTAGAAACCCAGTGCATATAAGCGGGACGTTTCACAAAGCCACAAGAAACGTAACCCACCATTTCCATGGTGTCGAGCAAACGCATCTACCTCTCATCCATACTTTTCCACGGGTTGATAGCTAGATTTCAATATAACTCGACTTGACAACTAGTTGTAGCAAAGATTGTAGTGGATTTGCCTGGATCAATCCGTTTAGGACAATGAAATTTTCGACCACTGAAACGTAAGATAAGATTATCGCTAACCAAACCATGATTGAAGTCCAGATAGGAACTCTAAAAGGAGCGGTAGTCGTGTACATAACTATTCTAGCAGTATCTAATCGCTATATGAGCAGTCTGAGTCGAAGATTGAGTTGGGGATGCAGGACGTCAGTTAGTACATCAGGAATGACTGTGACAGAAGTTGGTGCTGGCTGAAAGTAAGTTGTTGCTTGTAGAAGACGGTTACCGTTATCCGACCTGCAACCAACGAGTCTTCATTGGGCAGCCACCCAAGCAACTGTCCTCTGTCCCTAGATGCCTGACCTGCACATTCAAATCTCCGTGTGGCACTGCGATATCTATCGGGTGCGCTTTCTCCAGACAAACAATTTGGTAGTGCAACTCATCCTTTATTGGATCTATACTGCAATGTATCGGAACATAGGCGAAGATAGCAAAAAGACTGTTTCACACGCCAGTCCATCCTCATCTTGATTGAGCTTTCCGATCTGACGACACATAAACGACTGTTAATGGGGGATATAATCAATTAGTGCTGCCTCTGCCATATGACTTAATACAACGCCCATGGCAGCTAAACCGGACAAAGTCCTTGTATATGCGCACGTCAACAAGCTTTAAGAATCGACAAATGAAGATAATTTGTAGTGCTTCATCAGAGTCTTGAATACTGGTCTCAGAGGTACAACAGATGTCGACACCAAGACTTTCCAATGACGGCCAAACGTATCTGTTGTCCTATCCTCATCAATATGTGACTGTTGAAGGAGGCCAGTTTGGATGAGATACTTTGATCCATAAAAGGTGTATTAACAATCGCATTCCGTGGAAGCATCCATAAATTCGACTAAACTGTGACATGAGATTGCTTAAATAGGACAGAACTTCCACCATAGATGAGATGCTGGGTGATTTGACAAATAAAGAATACATAAAGTGAAAACAAAGAAAAACTGAGAAGTGACAGTGTAAAGTAAAAATGAGTGTGACGAAATAGTAATCAATACTATTTGCTTGAATAACAAAGCGAAACGAGATTTTTCCAACGGTAATTGTCATCAGAATTGTGACAAGAGGTGGGGGCTTCAGCAATTGTTATGAGTGGAGTAGTGATTGACATAAGTGAACAGAATAAGTTAAGAAACCAATAAAATACTTATGTAGTTATTGCCTTCACTTCGAAAACAGTGTCTTAATCTGAATTCTAAGTATGATCATTATTATTCTAATCATGTACTACAACGATTTGTGATACTGATATAATTTACATATTAAGTTTCCCCAACTGCAATCGATTGTATATTAACTTACCGTATGAGGAGTTGTCAACAGCAATGATATGTGCTGATGAACATCTTTTGTATGCCTCAACAATGATGGTAGGGTCGATTCTTTACTAACCATGATATTTGGTGGATTAACATTGGGACGTGCACGCGGATTTGTAGATTTGTCATAAAGTTTCAAAGGTAACTTGCAAAAACTCAGTGGTAAAATGCGAGATCGTTCATGATTATTTTTTGTTGTGAGCTCCTTATTTAGAAGATATGAAATTTTCAACTTGTTTTTAACCAGTATTTGACTTCTGTAATCATAAAAATCCAAGCGACGAACTATAATACAAAGTATAAAATGTAAAAACAATATGGTTGGTGTGCAACTCACTAACAAATGGTCAAACGCAATAAGCTGAGGCTACAAGACCTCATAAACGAGAATATTCTTACCGTATTTATTATCTCATTCACAAAGAATAGTCAAATTGAATTTGGAAATAATTTGGAGATGTAAATCACTAGTAAGGCACATAAACAGCCTATAAATTAGCAGACTATAATACGTCGGGAAAAAACAGATTATTTCACAACTCGGATCATATCCACTCCGATATAATCCAAAACACGGCCACTAACAACTGATAAGTGGTTTTTCGAAGACTGTATCGTTTGAAATACATTATCTCACATCGACATCATCCACCATAGCCATTTTTAATAATGCAGAGTTGAAGTTTCATGATGTTGAGTAGTCTTAAATTGGGAAAAAATTATTTAATACTCCCTGATTTCAAATGGTTCGGCCAGTGCCAAAAGTGTAAGTACTAGCTTAAAATGAGCAACCCAAGTGCTGGACACCATAAATGATTGAGATTTACAATTTTAATGGTTGACTGACTTCGACTGATTCATTTTATCATGAGATAAAAATACACTAACAATATTTAAAGAAAATCTTATTAATATTACAATGATACCCATCCATTTGACAAGCTTTCATGTATAGACTAACCTCGGTAAGTTCGCGTTTTCTTACGTTTGCGCAAATTTTTTTTGGTAGATAGCGAAGTACATTTCTTTAATGGATTTTGTAAATTAGTTATTTCTTCTGAATGTGGCTGACAAAGTATGTTCTTGTCAGTTAGAGATACTTTGGGTAAGGAATCACTATTGATACGATTTGTGCGCATATGTGTCCGTTGAACATGACGTTCTAACAATGTGGAAGTAGAAAATCGTAATGTGCATGCATCGAAAATGCATCTAAATGGTTTTCCTTTGGCATCCGTATGATGAAGTATATGTTGTTCCAGCCACGCAGCCGAAACACTAGGTCTTCCAAACACACGACAATCCTGCCACAAACAACTAAAATATTTTCGCCGACTGGATAACTGTGGGACGACATGAATTTGTTGAATGTGACTGATCAACTGAGTCCTTTCAATGTCAACACACCCACAACCCTTCCACTTACAAACGGAGGACATACTACTAGACCCACAGGAAGTAGATGAAACAGAAGAAGCAGAGGTATCTTGGATTGAATTGATCACAGACTGTTCTTTGAGACCGTTGTCTTCTACAGGCGATTTGGGGTCAGGTAAACAATCATCCCTATTTAAGAAAACATGACGATGCTTGAAGTGATTTCTTCTTTCTACATTCCTGTTCCGATGACGCAGACGCAGATTCAAAGAATCAGATAACAACGACAGTTTATTGGCCAACCTAGTGTGGGACTTGTTTGTTAGAGCACGAGTCCGAACAGACAGTGAAGGTTTTAGTTGAGTGCAAACTGTGTGTGTCATGCTTCTCTTTAAAATTAGAGACAGATATTGATCGTCAGCTCCATCATGATATACAATCCTAAAAACCGAAGAATACACAAGGATTTGTTGATAGAGAAGATATACATAATCATTTAATTATGATGGATCTGAGGTTGCCACTTGTGTGAAAATCTATTTAGCGAAAATGACCGCTCGCAACGTAAAAAAATAATCACCAACAAGTAGTAAAGATACGGTTTTTTGCGATATATTCAAATTGCAACTACTAACGTAGACTGTTTCTATAAACCATGTGAAGTTTGTGGTCATAAGTGCTGTTAGAAGTATGAAGGCGGTTATCACATTCCGGTTACTCACACAGTAGAACGGTTCTCCTTGAGGTGCCTGAAAACGAAAGCGGGTTAGAGTTGGTCTTCGTGGCCTGATAGCTTGACCGCAATGTCGAAGGGACAACTGCTTGAGGCCAGTCACACACGACTTTTTGTGTTCGCTCCGTACTTGTTGATACCTTACCGCAGGAGGCTAAAATCCGCGGGATGAGACGAGGTGTGCATTATCAGGGTTGACCTAACCTCACGGTTCCTTCGTGGGAAGGCAGAATAGATGTTATGCTGATTGTCTGAAGTAAACACCTTACTGCCATCACACCTCTGTACAGTTAGCAGAACGAACCTTGGGTTTGCTGTTTTTCATCTTACCGTTATTCAACCGATCTGCCTGGGATGTTAGGACCTTGGGGAAAGATTGTCCCAGCCAGTATAGCCCGATTCGTTCATCACGATAGGCTAGCCCGATCACCACGTCAAGGTAGCAGTAACGGCCAGGCATGCTAAGTTTAATTAATTTTGTTTTTCCTGCTGATTGTTAGTTATTTCTCAGAGCACCAACTTTAAAAGTTTATTCCGAAGTATTTGTAATAAGGAATGGAAATTGAACAGAGGCCAGAGAGTGCGATACTAATTCGCTTACAAAAATCCACAGTAAAACATAACTTAAGCGTTAGTCAGTAACACTTAATGAGGTCTTTAATGTACGCTGTCGACATTCATTCAGTCACAACGTAGAGCCTGTATGTATGTAAATCGGTTAACATACCCCATTAGCATAGAGAGATGAATTTTCAAGGCCAAATTTCGGAAGAGGTAGTTACAGAATTAGTGGTAATAGGAAAGATTAGGTATCAAAGATGAGGATCAAAAAGAAAATATAAATTGACGAAATAAAAGTATAAAGGAAGTTATGAGGAATTTAGAATTCGGGGAAAGACAAAGCACGGATGTACCTACGCCACTGCAAACGATCTTGAGTCAGGTCATTCAAAGTCTTAAACCATTTGTTACGATAATCACGTGGATCCTAACCAGGTAGTCTGTACCTAATAGCACGTCTAAGTTCAACTGTCAGTGACATCATAGACTGATGCCATGTTTTGGTCTGGCCGCCCCTAGCTTTCTTCCAGACTACTCCTACACCGAAAAACATTGCCTGTTGAGGTAGGCGATGGGTGGACATGCGTAATGCATGTTCTCACCACTTCAGTTAATGAAGATTTACTACATCATAAACCAATTCCCCATCTTAACCCAAATTATGCTTACTCCGTGGTCCAAAAATTCATGAGCAATGTTTGTAGACACCTGAGAATATCCTCTACTCTTGATGACCAGGTTTCACATCCATAAAGTAGAGTGGAGTAGACTACTAAGCAGTAAACTCCCCGTTGATAGGAAGATGGATATCTAGACTATGCCACAAGTGACGCGATTCGGCGAAAGCCAATCGAGCCTTCTCATACCGTGCCGAGATTTCGTCAGATGCCAAACTCCCAAGTTAGGTGAACATTAGTATGAAGGGGCACTGAATATCTATGCACCATACAAGTCATTTGATTTGTGATCAGCGATCGAGACCAGTCAGGTTGGATTACATCCAGTTCCCAGAATGGCCGAGAGTGGGGTAGGCCCGCCCTCCCTCTCAAAATACTCTTACACGGCCACGTGTATATAGCCTCTGCCAGGGAAGTCCTACTCACTGCCTTTCCGTGGTGGGAGGTTGTTTACGAAAATGAGAGGAAGAAAAGCGAATATCCGACTCTTTAACCGGATCCCAAACCAATGGTGCACATGGCGTACGAACCAGTCGTTGGTCACCGGCTACCATGGGACTGCATCTCCTCACGATGCCCCACTGCCTTGTGGGTTAGACCTTTAGGTCGAAGGCTCCGGGTGTGGCCCCCTAAGAAAACCACCTGCTTCGGTCTGGGCATCCGGGCAGTATCGCAGCCCTCACACAAATATGATGAAATGTCGATATTTATGAAAAATACTTTTCTATTATTGTTATTATTATTCTTTTCTACGTCATTTATTCACTCGATTTTATTCCCACTTTATGTATCCTTATTTTTCGACTTACACAGCAACTCGCCTATGGTGGAAACTCAGTTCTATCTAAACGTTCTCGAATCACTGCCTGGTTGAAAATTGTATGCTACCACCGAATACGAATACTGAAGCAGTTTTTCTGAAACCACGTGCACCATTCAAACTGACTGCCTTCAACGTTCGCACACTTATGCAGGTCGGACAACAGATAGGGCTGGCTATATCTTTGGAAAGTCTTAATATCGATGTCTGCTGTCTGTCCGAGACCCGTATTCAAGACTCTGGTGAAGTACTACAAATTCGCTCTTCATCTGTCGCTTTTGTTTTACGTGCGCTTACCCGGGGACCCTGTGGCATCTTCGTCTGGTCTTGCTAGCGTTGGTGTCGCACTAAGCGCTAGAGCTGAGGCAGCACTAATCAACTGAATCCCCATCAACAGTCGGTTATGTGCTGTTAGATTAGAGAGTTCCATCAAAGTGAGAAGAAATCGGCCTGAAAAACGATGTCTTTTCGTCATCTCCGTCTATCCTCCGACAGATTGCAGCCCGGATGCAATCAAGGATGAATTCTACCACCGATTATTTGTTCTGCTCCAGAAAGTGCGTTCGACAGATATTTTAGTACTAGCCGGAGACTTGAATGCTCAGGTCGGGCGTCTAGGTACAGAAGAGAGTCGTTTAGGTGGCCGATGGGAACTTGTAGGTCGCAAGACAGATAACGGGACCGTCTACTGCAACTGTGCACAGACCACAACCTGCTTTTGGCTAGCACTAACTTTCGGCACAGTCATCGCCGATGTGCCACCTGGCATCCTCCTTCTGCATCTCAAGCCTGGACTCAGATTGATCACATCGCGATCAGCTACCGCTAGCGTGGTTGTGTACAAGACTGCCGCTCCTTTTGGAGTACCCCTCTGGACTCTGATCATGCCCTGGTCTGCGCCAATCTCACCTTACTTTTCAGTGGCCAACAAAGTGACCGCCACCAAAGGATTGATGTCAGCAAGTTGGTTGCAACTTCTGTTGCTAGTAAGTATCGAACCGAGCTAGCTTCTATGCTAGCTACCATTTCACCGAAAAGTATAGATGAGCATTGGCTATTACCTTCCGTCATACTTCGTAGATTGTTCAAAACCCGAGAAAGATTGACTCGCGAGGAGCAGGCTGGGTTTCGTTCTGGTCGAGGATGTATTGATCATATCTTCACCCTTCGCCAAATGTTAGAACACCGCCATACTTATCAAAGGCCAACAATCGTAGTGTTTCTTGACATCAGGGCTGCCTTCGATTCGTTGAACAGGACTGTTCTCTAGGATTGTCTATTGAAGAAGGGTGTGCCTGAGAAGTTTATTAACATCCTAAAAGCCCTATATACAAACACGTCAGGCAGAGTGAGGCCATACAACCACCTCTCTCCATTGTTCCATTCGAGCAGTGGGGTTAGGCAGGGTTGCACAATCTCACCATTCCTCTTCAACTTTGCGATCGATGACATTGTGGAAACAGCTCTGATGAATGTAAGTAATGGTGGTGCGGATCTGTTGTCTGGAGAAAGACTTCTCGACCTTAAGTATGCGGATGATATTGTCTTACTGTGTGATAATACCCAAGGCATGCAGTCCGCACTTAATCAGTTGGCAATCAGTGTCCGTAGGTATGGTATGTGCTTTGCACCTTCGAAGTGCAAAGTACTTCTACAAGACTGGCAGGATTCCAATCCTGTACTCACCCTGGATGGTGAGCAGATAGAAATAATCGAGAAGTTCGCGTATCTAGGTAGCTGCATAATTGCTGGTGGTGGCGTGAATGATGAGACCAATCCACGTGTAGTGAAAGCCGGAGAGGCTTATGCCAATGTGGGCCATCTTTGGCGCCTTCGTGATGTTAGTCTGGATGTAAAAGGTCGGATCTACAACGCGTCGGTGAGAGCAGTCTTGCTCTATGCTTGTGAAACCTGGTCTCTCCGAGTTGAGGATATTAGATGATTCTGTGTTTAATCATCGTTGTCTCCGAAGGATTGCTGACATCCAGTGGCAACACCATGTTAGTAATACAGAGGTTCGGCGTCGTGTGTTCGGGCACAGAGATGATAATGAAATTGGTGTCACCATCTTGAAACATCGACTTCGGTGGCTTGGACATGTTCTCCGAATGTCGTCCCAGAGGACTGTCCTACAGGACTATGTCATCTGCGTTTAGAGGGGGATAAACGCACATATTTGAAGTGACAGCTATGTATAATCACTACTACGGAAATAACTACCTGAATATATACACAAAAGTCGATTAAAGTTGACCAGTGTCCTCGTAACTTAACCAGTTTGAAGCAATGCTTAACAAACATCATTATTCTAAATTAGTCCAATTTGCAAAAATTGTGTAAACACGAACAGTACGGCCGTAAATTAAGGTTAGTTATTGGGAAATAAGACCTCAAAATGCACAAAACGACTCACCAGCCTATGACTATGGCGCATCTATGTGTCAGTAACTCGGCACTTTTCTCGGTGAAAATTAAGACCTGCTAAGGTACTTAAACTAATGACCTAGTGGAATTTGGGAACCGGTGACTCAAAAAGTACATTCAATGAATGTCCGTTCGATAGTCCAAGGGGCGCTTAGTACATAAGTGCAGCTTGAGATCAATATGACATAAAATTAATTAAGGTCTTTTTATCCAGGCGAAAAGTTGGTTTTAGTGCTTACTTATATTTACAAATGCATCCAGCTTGTTAAATCTGTGGGACTGTTGCATTACTTAGAGCAGAGTGATTATGTGTATAATCACTCTGACATACTTGTCACATAGATCGGGCTGAAAGCTATCCACGTCAGATGACAAACGGATATGACGAACCCAGTTGATAACGAAACAATCCTCGTTTTTGTTGTCTTCCAAAACAGAGAATTTACAAGGACACTCCAAAAAAGTTCACAAGCCCAGAACAAATTACTTGTCAGCTGACTATCGACTTTCCCAGCGCAGCATCGAGTGGAATTCATTACCTCAGCACGTGATTGGAGCCCCATCCGTCGACTCTTTCAAAAGAAAGTTGGATCAACTGAGAGACCACCATTGCCAGGACTAACACAGGCCATCAAGCCTCCTGTCCTTACCAAACTGAAATTCATCCTGAATGGCCTGTCTAAGTCCTCGTTATATGGGTCTCTCAATTATCTTGAACTTACAAAAAAATTGAGCGTAAAGAAACGACAGAGAGAACTCGTTTTGTACACTTACGTCTGATACTGGAAGAAATAAACTATGGTTAACAATTCACAGGCCTTCCTCCTCTGAGTTTTGAATCTCCTACCTAAGTCTACTTAAATGGCGGGAGTTGTGAGTTTTGCCGTTCTTTAAGCCACGACGGATAAGGTGTTTCACTTATTAACAGTTGTAACAAGCTTTTTGACGTCACCGTCTTTTTTTCTTCATTTATTGGGAGACATTTTTCATGTTGGCCTTGCTTCTTTAATAAAATAGCTAGTAACTTTAAGGTTTATCACTTAAGTAATTACATACCTCGGGGTTTTCTGGACTTCTGGTAAAATCCTAATAAACTTTTTAAACTCACTCCTCAGATGAATGTATTCAGTTTGGAGCTTTCTCGTCGTCAAAAGTTTTTCATCGGCTATGTTATCTCGATTTCGCCCACACGTTGAGTACGGGAGACGGAGATTCGCTCATTGACGTTGTAAGCTATGTGAGAACTTTAAAGAATGATCACGTGATTTGATTTTTTCCATAGGTTTGTGGAAGACTCGTAACCATAACGAGCTGATCCTTCCCAAATGCAGCACACACCGAAGACTTATTTGGGTGAGTTATGAAGTCCGTAGTCTGACCTCGTTGATTTGTATTCTTCAGGTTTCCGACCTCTTTGAACAATTTAGCTGCCCGATTCTTCAGCCACTTTCAATGATCCAAGGATAATAACCGTAAATCTAGGGATTCTGTGCTGAATCAAAAGAGTACAGGACTGCTCTACCGGTATCTTGTATTCCTGCTAATTCTAAAAACAAAAGGAAGCAGGAAGTCACTGGCTGGGACAGTAGAAGTTAGTTTGTCATTTTTCATCATCAGTTTCTCTTAGGAAACAACATTTCATTATTAAATCGGAAACCACCAGTTTTCCTTCTCAGTGAGTGCAATTCTCATTGTATGAATCACGGCAAGTGGGAATTGGAAACAAACTTGTCCAAAGAACTTTTCAGTGTATTAGGACTGAGCTCTAAGTATGTATAGGTTCTACCTTTTGTTCTGATCTTTACAGAAACATGATTTCGGCCGAAATGGACAATTAAAGTTCTTTCCCTAGGTACTTTTGCGCTGAAAATGTTGAGTCTACAATCGAAACGGACTGAGGGGCCAGTATTATCACAATTCAAAGTGTAAGGACATGTTGAGGTAGGCCCGACAATAACAATCTAAAAATTCCTGCAACATAACGAGTGTGTAGCAGCCCAAGTTAGGTTCTTGGTCATCTTCAGTTGGAATTAAGACATTATAGTTAGAATAGTTATTTACTTTCTTATTTTGTGTGAGCACCATATTTCCTGTGTTTATGTATCGAACGGTGGACTTTTCGTGTATTTTACTTGGCGATGTTGCACTCCGTTTCCTCCACGTATTTTGAAACAAACTACACTACCAAAAGTGTTTGGTGTTCTTATCCACTACATTACGAGGGGTACTTTGGGGTCCCTCAGGCTATTAGAAGGACTCTCTTAAGGGCCTTCTTTGACAGCATTGATATTTAGTAAATTTTGACCCCATTTTTGTACATAAACTTTAATCCATGACTTTCCTACCCATATTCTCATAGCTTCCAGTTATTCTTAAGACTTTTGTTATTTGACTCTAGTTAAGATTATTCTTCCTTGTTTCACTTTGTTGTTGCACGGTACCAGACCGATGACAACAAGGTCTTCAAGGGCTTTGCTTCAGATTACATCACCGAACAGTCGGCTAATATTAATTATCTACTGTCCGCTGGAAACTTTCACTGGTTGACCTGATTTTTTCAGAAGGAAATCTTGATCTTATTCTGTTGGGAATCATCTTCTTGATTCATAAGTACTTGACAGTTGTATTTATTTAATTTTTTGGCGTAACGAGCATTATTTATACGTCAGAAAGATTCCACCATACAATTTGAGTGTCGTTGTTTGAATATTGTGTTTTTGGATGGCACATACCTTCATAAAGTCATATAAATGGATTCCCCAACCTGCATTTACGTAATTACGCGTCATAAAATTAAGAAAACAGACCCGAGACTAGTGTGTAAGCGTTCGAAAAGTAATTTGGAACTTTTCCTCGTAAGTTGTATGTCATAGTTGGCAAAACGCTAGACACTGTGTCCGTTATTTCACGAGCACTTGGATATGTAAAATGCTTCGACTGAATTGTTGCAAACAGACTAAATTCTCGGTGAGACTAGCAGTTAATTACGTAGACCCAAGTAATACATCTTACTGATGAAGTGATGTTTATCTCACTGATAGACTGTGATTATACGACGGCATAAGATCATAGGTCTGAAGACAATAGAACACATTCAAATCCTGCGTCTAGAATCCATTTGAACTCATATTCCTCTTAAATCCGAGTGTCTGTTGAGTGCTTATCAGACGGTAGAACCTGAGATTAATTTCTACCAGGTTAGTATTATGTTACTGGATCAAATTGATACAAACAAATAAATGGAGACGGAAGAAGGATGTGTGTATTTGATCACGCATGACCTTTTGTATGAAATAAGTTAACAATACGTGTAAATCCACGAATAACATGGAAACCAGACTCAATCACCTCTATCCCAGAAGACACAAGTTGTTAATAATATGGACTCAAATATGACTTTGTCAGAATTGAATGGATTTAGTTGGTAAAATAACCAAAAATGTGTGACTAGGAAACAATAAAGCAAGTAGGATGTGGGGTTTGTTTTATATTGGTTTTGGACCGTAGAGGATCATAAGCAGAAATACGAATGACCAGAGGTCCTGTTTAAACTCTAATTATTGCTACATAAATGCGAAAACACTAATAATTGTTTTAACTGATCTATGTGGAAAACAGATCTCGTTTATGAATGTTCGGGCAAATACCGAAGTGCTCACCGCAGCATCACAACGCGCCGTAAATAATAATTTGTATGTTCCGGCTGATTCAGATACAGATTTGTGGTTGGAGGTCTGAATGTCGATGGTAAACTATCTGGAATTGTTCCTACTTTATTGGACCGATCGAAGGAACACAAACCACTTATTCATGCAACATGTATTGCTTCTTAAAAACACCAAGTAGTGTGATTTTTGTTGAATCTCTAACTATGTGCTCTAACGTTTCACATAACAAGGGAGACCATTCTGTAAATAAGTCGAGATAGAGAATTTTTAACGGATTATTTCGCTACATGTTATAATTTCAAAATATTTGTTTTAATTCGTAACACTCACAAAATGGAATTCTACGTGAACTTTATTTAAGAAGTAAACAAAGCTGAATTATATTAATTAAGTATAATTTTGTGTAGGGATAGCTTAATATGTCTCAGGAAGTTTCGTAGTAATAGCCGTTGGCTTAGCGTATGGACAGCATGAGTAGTTTTTGTCCGGAAATAGAAATACAACCGATATTTTGCCGATGTTTATATCACCAATACCTTTAATTCAAGTCAGAAGGTCACTTGACGTTTATGCCGGTATTTTGTTTGTATGCGTTTTTTTAAAAATGCATTTGCAGGCTGACTGTAGGTACAAAAGTATAACCGTAGGATGGAGGAATTTCAACTAGTGTTTCAGTTAATTTGTCAAAATTTGTACTGTTTGTCTAGTTATGGAGAGAGTTTCTCGAATTCGTTGTTGTTCTACCGTGAAAGAATTTAATAAAACAACTAATACAGTGAGTGATTGTCAAAAATTCCTTTGGTTCATAAGAAAATGTTGATTATGTGAATTTTCGACAGATAGATGATGGTAGTTCATAAAATATGAGTGGATCGACGAGAGACATGCCCTAGACTAATTTTTTGGTGTACAATAAACCAATTATTTGTATGAATATTTACCGGCTGATGGTGCATACAAGTAAGTTGTAAATATCAGTTTACTGTAAGACGGAATACGATTTCCTTGAGATACAGTGATTATAAGCTGTCGAAATCAACGAAACTTATGTGCCGCAATTATAGTTGATGTGGTTCTGCATGATGTCTTCGGCTAGATAAGTCTTCACAAGACGATTAACAGTGAGTGATGCTCATGTAATTATCAGGAAGAACATAAGTTGTAACCAAGGGGAACACACTCTCAACTCATATCTATGATAATGGCTTGAACCTTAGTCAGTGTTGGGGTAAATTATACAGTATTTCCAGTTTGCACAAATACTTTCCTGGAATATATTACTTTAGAGGTGTTTAAGATAATAAGATGATCCAGCATTTCAATCGTGTTTCATATATCGGACACACATGCCCTGAAGCATATTAATTATAGGCTGTCTAAAGTGAGTAGTGTGACACAAGACTAAAAAGCGTTACCGCCGATATCGTTCAAATTCAACTTATCCGTAAATGCAAACGAGCGTCTGACTTTTTCGAACACGATCAGACAGAAACAGATTTTCAGGGATCTTAAGATCATTCAGATAGAACGTGTCAGTGAAAGGTAAGAAAAGCCAATTACAGATCAGTAGCATCAAAATGAAAGAAACGTACCCTGATGCGGTAAGCCATAAAATCAAGCTTGTTTCTGAAAGTATCCCTAACCTCATAAATATCTCACCACTGAAAGACTCTCCGGAATCTCTTGAAACTTGGAATCTGGGAGAAAGCAACGCTAATGAGAATGGTGTTCTTTCCTCCAAAAAATGTTTTATATCTGGCCATAAAAAGTTGTGCTGATAATGACTCAGATAGTACAGTTAAAAGTTCCGTCAGTGCAACACTCAGTTGTAGCGGCTGTGCGACGAGCAATGAGGATTATGGTAGCAAAACTTATACACCCGACCATGTACAAAACATCTATATATTTAGAACTTGAAAACCACAGGGGGCATGTTTACAAACACTCAATTCCCCTAACATAAGGAATGAACTAAAACGAAACACAGGCGGTGCAACTAAACGCTCATAACATGTTGCACATTCATCGAGTATAAGAAGTGATCCCAATTATTTACGGCTACCTAGCCGCATGAACCGGCATTATATCCCTATATGCCCGGCTCTGAGGATGCC